TTAATTCGAAATATATACTGAAAAATGGTATGTCCGGAAACTTTTTGCTCCCTCTCGCGCGCTCGCTCGCCAAAAAGTTTGGGGAAAAAAGATTAATTGACCACTTGCGTAATAGACAAAATTTTGATCTCAACAAGTCTAGGCAAAAATTTAATTACAGCTTGAAAGAGCATCACAAAATTAGTAATATTCCAAAGTTTCGTTGCGAAATGTTGTAAAATGCGGTTAATATAGCCTTGCGAAGTTTGCAATTTTCAGTCATTTTAGATTACAAACGGGAAATTGACAGACCCAAAGAGTATTGGTCTGTCAATTTCCCCCGCGTAATACAAAATGACTGAAAAACGGCAAACTTCGCAAGGCTATATTATCCGCATTTTACAACATTTCGCAACGAAACTTTGGAATATTACTAATTTTGTGATGCTCTTTCAAGCTGTGATGAAATTTTTGTCTAGACTTGTTGAGATCAAAATTTTGTCTGTTACGCAAGTGGTCAATAAAGCTAATTTTGTCTGTTACGCAAGTGGTCAACTAAGCCCGTTAGCGACATTTGTAAGCAGTTACGACCAATTTCACTTACTGCCGCTATTTCGAAAATCGCCGAGGACTGTGTTGTTAAAAAATACATTGCTCCAGCTATCATGAGTATAATCGATCCAAGTCAATATGGAGTAATACCAAGAAGTTCAACTACTCTCGCTGTTATATCTATGATCCATGAATGGTCGCAAGTTACTGATGGCACTGGCACTGCTGTCAGAGTCATCCTGTTCGATTATAGAAAAGCATTCGACCTTATCGATCATGCTTTACTGGCTGATAAAATTTCCAATTTAGCTATTCCACGTGCGGTTGCTCGCTGGACAATCGATTTTTTGATGAATCGAAAGCAGAGAGTGAAATTATCCAATGACTGTTATTCGGAGGGGGGAGATGTACTTTCCGGTATCCCTCAAGGTACAAAATTAGGGCCCTGGCTATTTTGTTTAATGATAAACGATCTTGATATTTGTGATATATCGAGGTGGAAGTTTGTTGATGACACAACAGTTGCTGAAGTAGTTAGTAAGGACACAGAGAGCCGTGTTCAAGTCGCAGTTGATGTTGTGGAAGATTGGTCGAAGGCAAATGGGCTATCTCTTAACGCTGAGAAATGTAAAGAACTGAGAATCGATTTTAAAAAAAATTAAACAACCTTTTGATCCTGTACTGGTGGGTGGAGAAGCATTGCCTATAGTTGAGAGTGCAAAAATATTGGGTCTTGTTATGACAGGCACACTTCAGTGGAAAGATAACATCAGAGAGAGTATAAAGAAAGCTAATAAACGCCTCTATTTTATAGTATTATTGAAACGGGCAAGCGTAAATGTCAATGATGTCTTGAACTTTTATTGTACAGTGATCAGGCCTGTGCTCGAGTATTGTGCGCAAGCCTTCCATCATTCCATCCCAAAGTATTTGGCAGACGAACTTGAGACTGTCCAGAAACGTGTGCTAAAAATTTTATCTCCTGAAATGACATATTTTGAGGCCCTTGAGTATTTTAGACTGCCTACTCTATTTCAAAGAAGAGAGGACATGTGTGACAAACTCTTTACGAGTATCATCAAGGATCCAATGCATAAACTTCATCATCTGCTGCCCCCAAAGAACGAGACTGATTATTCTTTCAGGACGAATCGGTATTTTAATATGTACGTTACACGCACGAACCGCTTTTATAACTCTTTATCCCTGCTATGTGTAGGAAGTTTGTAGGATAGATTTTATGCTTATTTTAATCGAATTTTGATCGAGGGTGGGTTTTATAATATTGTATTAATAATATATTTATATGTAGTGCATGTGATAATATGTAATCCACGCAATTCAGCTTCTGGCTGCAATGTGGTTTCAATTTAATAATAATAATAATAATAATAGTTCTCATTCATCGCAAACTGTCACCGACGATCGGCGACGTTTATCGCCGATGCTCGCCGATCGCGAATGTACGAAAGTTCTCATACATCGGTGAACGTCGCAGATGACAGCCGATGTGTTTCGAAATTTCCCACCAAGGCACAAAATGGCCCCGTTCAACGTAAAGATCATGATTTATGTCAAACTTCAGTTGATTATTTCCTTGCTTGTTGAGGAAAAAACAACTTTTACTCATTTTTCATAGATTTTTCAAGCAGGTGGCAGTCGGCGATGGTCGCAAGAAACAAACTTTTTTGTTTCCTGCGATGTCATCGCCGATGGTCGGCGACGATCATGGACAATCGGCGATATAATTTTTGATGTGTTCTCATAAATCGCAAGCGGTCGCCGACGTCGCAAAGCTCCCATCGCCGACGGTTTGCGATGAATGAGAACTAGGCTTTAGTGACTGAAATGTTACATATGTTTGATAATTTGATCAGTAATAGCCCCACCCCAATCTTGCATGATCCATCCGTCACTGGGCCTGTGCCCCATCAGACCTTTCTCATTCGTCGTCCTTTTCAAGATCCCAGCACGTCCCTGGTCTCAGAATCCTAGTTACGCGGGCCTGATCTGCTGCCCTATGACGTATACTTATTAGTTAAACCATGCATATATATTCTGGTAGCTGCAGCGGATATAGACTTGCCGACTGGAACTTCTCCATGTCCCCCGCGAAATATGCCCCCCCCCAGTTACACATACTTAAGAGGCCCTGACATTAATGTTAGTACTGACTTGAACAGCTAGTGTGAACTAAATATCGTTATAATTGAAGGTCACTATAAATAACAGTAGGAACCTCTTGCAATTTTCAATACATCACTATTGCCAGGCTTGATGATGCATGTGAGCAACCTAGTGAAGTTCCATTTCATGATGCCGAACTTGCTCCCACAGGTGTCGAGATGACAGCACACAAAATGAGGCAGAACGTACATATAAAATTGGGCAATAAGTGCAGATTCCATTGTTGATGGAGCAACAATTGAATGGAACAAACTTATTTAACAACCCTCATACAGATGAAAAAATAAGCAAATTGACCCCTTGACGAAATGCAACTTAATGGGTTAACCCTAAAACATAAAGATAGAAAAGGTCACGAATTTCATAGCAGATGGATTGGTGACGTGGTGACCACGCCGTTTTCTCGGGCAAAACTCACACCCTCCTAATACGCCCAGTCAAGTTGCGCCCTTGGCTGTTTTGCATGTTATGTTAGTAATGTCAATGTGAGAAAGTTTATAAAATGAATAATAGAGGTTCAGATTTGGCCGACAGGTCGGTGGTAGACATCGTAAAACTGCATGAAGTCGTCCCGACAAGCGACAACTCGCAATCTTTCCGACGGCTGGAACCGAGCCTACGTTTAAAGCCAAGGCCTGGCCGACTGAGCCTTTGTCTAGGTTCAGAAAAGCCAGTCTAGCCAAGCCTTGTGGCAAAGTAAACGTATCACACCTTGCCCTAGTAGAGCTGTGCAAACTCCGGTTTTTTTAGCTCCGGCAGTCAAAACTCCGGCAAGGAATTTTTAAGGAAATTTATATTTAAAAGTGGAAGCAGGCGAAAGTTTTTGAGTGTAATAAGTGTTCATTGAAATATGATCTATGCCCTAGGCCAGGAGCGCTGTATAAACAGGTTTTAATCAGGGGTCGTGTTCAAAAGCTGGTTAGCTTTCTGATTCCACGGGCGCTTTTTCTCGGCGAAATGCGAAATATTTCGCCGAGAAAAAGCGCCCGTGGAATCAGGCCTTAATATTGTATAATAATTTGTTTTGAAAATTTTTGTTCCCATGCTTAGTTCTTGAGATATTTCATTTTGTTTGTAACCATGTGACGTCATTTACTCAATTACATATATAATGAGATATCAGTAATTGTTGTGTATCTTTGCTATTTTTGATGGATTTGTTTAAAAAAAACCAGTATGCTTCATGATGTAGGTTAAATTAACAAACGCGCCGCATCTTTCGAAAGATTTTGATAAAAAATAGCAAAGATACACAACAATTACTGATATCTCATTATACAGGGTGCATAAAAAAAAACGCAACCTCGGAATTTCCTAAGAAATCACTTTGCAATTCTTAAGCATAAAAGTTTTAGGCCCCTGGGAATTGAAATCAAATTGCTAATAGATCATATTAATGTTGTTGTTCGCGTGTGCAGTAATTTTGACAGTTATGCTATTTTAAATTCCCAGGCGCCTAAAATCTTTTGTCTTTAAAACAACGTCGATTTCTTGGGAAATTCCGAGGTTGCGCTTTTTTTGATACACCCTGTATATGTAATTGAGTAAATGACGTCACATGGTTACAAACAAAATGAAATATCTCAAGAACTAAGCATGGGAACAAAAATCTTCAAAACAAGTTATTATACAGTTTTAAGAGTATTTTCGTTTAAGAAAATAAAAATTTTGATGATAGTTCCCCTTTAATCCTAGGTGAACCAAAGTTTCAAAGCAATCTTCCCAGCAGCCGGTACAAAAAATGAAATAGTGTTCCACAATCCATATCTGGTCAATAGAAATTTTATTCCTAAAAGTTTTGAAATAAACAGGAGTGCATGCAAATGTGCCCAAACCAAAACAGCGGGTTAAATTTTAACCCATGCCCAGGGACCGGTTGTTCAAAGCTCGATTATCGCTAACCCTGGGTTAAGTTTTAACCCTCTGTTTTTTATTATGTACTGCATGGCTATGTCTCAAAACAGTTCAGAAAATAAAACTTCCATTGAACCAGAAAACATTAGAAAAACATATTCAACTTTATAAACAAGCTATTGGAAAATTTGATTTGTAGATTTGTGTTAACCCAAGGTTAGCGGCCCCTGGATTGTATTGTACCATTGCAATGCTTCGTTCACACGAGAAGATTTTGGAATCATCGTAAAATATGAAATCGGGACGAATTTGACCGCAGCTAACTGACCCGTATGAATAAATGTAACCAGACAAATTTGAGTATGATTTGGATTTCGTTCCGTCTAGTGTGAAGGTAAGTTAGGACGTAAAAACACAAGAAATTCAACGTTAAAACATGTTTATATTTTCGTGGTTGGCATCATAATTACGACATGAATTTATTACAAAACGCCTAGCTAGAACAACGTATGAACTGCTGTACAAATATTCATTTCCTACATATTTACATATAATTCAATATAGACACAATCAAATCTACAGAATATTAACCAACTTTTTACTGTGTATGGTACTCGGCATTTCTACACGAACTAGTCACATACGATTGTCATTCTGGACCTGCAGGAACCTTTGATCGAGGAACATTTTCACACATGATATATTTAAAGAGGAGGAAGGTATCGTCTCCCTGGTCCACCCTCCTCGTTTTGGGCAAATTCATTGCACGATCCTCAGAGGGTGAAAATTTCAAACATAAACTTTCTTATCTGTCGTTTGAGATTATAAAGTGTGTTCATATTTGGCGTAATGTACTGTCATATGGCAAATTCAAGGCAACTTCTGAATCTGAGGAACATTAAAGACTTTCCAGGTCTGTTTTAGGCCTGGGTCAAACTTTTTCATCTGCCTAATCTAATGCAAATGAAGTGAAACAAAGAACTTAGCTCATTAACATTAGGTTTGGCACATGAAAAGTTCGACCCTGGCCTAAGGTAAGTGTATAAAATTACTGCTGACGACACAACTCCTCATTCAAGTTTATGGCGAAATTCCTGTGTTTATTCGATTACACATATACAGGCCAGAATAAGAATCATATACGACAATAATCGTGTCGTGTGGATAGGCCTTAAAGTCCATTTTCCACTGGGCGAATTTGTTCGCGCGAACGATAAAAAAGCAGGAACTGATCCAACTTTTTCGCGGCGAATTTTTTCGCTGACCAATCACATTGCCAAGATTTGTTTTTCGCTTCGCGTGAACAAATTCGCCTAGTGGAAAATGGGCTTAACTCTGGTCTATGGTGACTTTTGTAAAGTCAATTTCTCGATTGTATTGAATCTTTTATTTTAACGTCAATTATCTTTAGATATCAATATCCAAAATTACATATGAAAACCAAATTCGGCAGGAATGCAGCAGGTGACTTTCACTCTCAAAGTTGTCAGTTGATCATAGAGCATAATAATAGTCTATAAAGCCAGTTTTCCAGTAGCGATTTTTTTGAGCGAATAGACATTTCTATTGTTAAAATTGAATAGTGGCACATCCAATTCTTAGACAATTAAAACAATGTGAAAAGCAATTTTTCAAAATAAACTAACCAAATTTACCATCATTTGTCAAAAAAATTATAAAAAGTCGCTGTTATGTGGACTTATCTCGCAGACTTCGGCTGAAATGCCACCCAAAAATGGCGGCGTGAGAAAGGGTAGTCCCAACCGTAGGTCGTGGGGTGGAAGAAAAAATCTTCGCTCGAAAAATTCGCTAGTGGAAAACCAGATTTAAAGTTGTTAGGAAACTCGATGAAATACAACAGCAAATGCAAATACGGATGTCTAATTACCCATCCGTGACTTTACAAAATGGTTAATTTAAACATCGCTATTGGTTTCTTGAGCGAAAAAAGTAACGTGATAGTGAACTGATCATATTTTTTAATAAGGAAAATCAACAGGGATAACGAGTTCTGTATTATATTTCATCGAGCTTCGTAGACAATCGTAATCATCTTTATACTGACTAAGATGAGAGGCCAAACGGAAGCAAGTCATCCACAGAAAACCTTTTTGAAAAATAAATACGTCAGTCATCATGCTTTTACGCCAAACTGTATTCTAGTGTTTTTACTTTGAATAAATATGAAAGAATTTTACAATACTAGTACATTGATTTATGACAAGAAAATCTTAAAATATTTTCCAAAGGGGACATTTAGCTACCTATACTTATTCATTTTCGTGAATAAAAAAATAAAACTCTGCTTCGATCATACATGGCAAGTACGTTAGAATATTCTAAAATAGTAACAGACCTAATCGACTAACGCGTAACCAATTCACTCACTGACACAGATATGATTTAGATGTTTGGTTAGGTTTAGATGCTTATACATTTCAGAACACAGGGTCGCCACCAATATATGAACAAGTTTTGTGACTCTCTTTTTCCCGCGCTTTTTCTCTCTAATTCCTAAAACCTGGTTCACACTATCAAAGTTTCTGTGATCACAGTGGGAATTTTGCATAGGTAAATTCTAAGTTTTGAAGGATTTATAAGAAATGTTTGAGGAAACTGACTCAGTGTTAAATACTCAAACATTCTTACAACACTGAATCAGTTCCTTCAAACATTTCTCACAAACCTTTCAAAACTTAGAATTTACCAATGCAAAATTCCTGTGATCAAACTGTGTAAACCAGGCTTAAGTATCTTATTCATGTTCCAAAATCACAGTTGATTTATAACAATGAAACAATAAAACGAAAGAATAAATTTCAAAACAATGAGTCACATACACTGATCACTTTTGTACGGTGCCAATCACAAATCATGTTCATTTTAGGTTGGTATTTACAACATTTGCAACTAGAAATGCGAGTTATTCTTGGTTTGCACTTGACGTCAGGCCATGTTGGAGGAACGCTGACAAAAGAATATCATTAGCAGCTTATTGTATTTGGAGCGTGTTTTCATCCAACATGGTCATATTACGTATCTCAAGGGATCGTTTGAAAATCATCAATACGAAAATGTGAAATGAGTGACAACGGGTATAAACGTGCGATCAGGTCTATTTCGGATATTTGTAGACAACACTCAAGTAGTGCCTCGATATCCGGCACGAACGTTTTGGTATAGTTCTACAGCATCTATTTTCATTTTAGGACAGTAATATACAGCTATTTCAATTAACGTTGTCCCCAAGCAAAGCTGAAAAGTCGAATACGAGCGCGAAAGGTTTGCTGGGAATCGCTAAATAATTAATGAATTTTTTAACGATTCCCAGCAAGCTTTTCGCGCTCGTATTCGGCTTTTCCCCTTTGCTCAGGGACAACCTTAATTGAAATAATTGTATGCAATAGTACACTCGAAAGGCAACATTCATCCTGGTACATCTTATAGACAAACTGTCACCATACACGTCTCGCCTAAAGACCGTTTTCCACTTCAGCCAAATCGTAACGTATCGTAACATTTTCTTTTATGTCGAAGTCATTTAGTTCCACTCTAGTGCTCAGGAAACAAAGAAATATGCTTCCGTACGATACGGTTGAAGTGGAAAACGGCCTTTACCCATGGGTTGACCCACCTTATGGATTCCTAATCCATTAACGAGACACGAATAACCAGACATACCCTTAAAATGAGCACTGCCTTCCGAGTTGGTTTTAGGTAGAGTTTTCATCTCCAGTAATCATTATATACTTACAGCGAACTGACAGATTGAATACGTATGCTTCTGTACTTAGAATAGGTTTCTCAATGCAAATAGCCAGATACTTTATATTATATCACATTGCAAAAGATATTTGTTTCTAGTAGCCATTTTGGAATTGCTGAACTTGGTAATGCCAGTGTTGCGGAAGATTCACTCCCAATGTACCCACAATGCATTCCGTTTCTCTATTCGTGTACTGAATTGCTGTCAGGGGTGGAAAATGTTTTCTTTCGGGGAACGTGCACAAAGGTTGAAGTACTGGAGTAACTTTCTCAAGACAGCCAATGCGATACCAAAATGGCGACTATTCCCGTTCTTAAATTTTACTTACGGTAAATTTGCGCTTCATTTAAATACACCATTGCTCTCCCCTCGCATGTCCCATGGCATGATTGCAAATCTTTGAAAGCTTCAACAGTGCCAATCGTAATGCAGCAGCCAAACTGCAAGTGTCTTGTGGTAGAACACCGTATTAAAATATTCATTCCATGTATGCATTATTTTCTTAAAATCCAGAGACGAACGTCGACACATCCGAAACGAATGCCATGTATTAATTCCACTGCAACCTCGCTGGAGTTCTTCTATACGTGGCGTCTTCCATAACGACCTATGACGGCCGTTCCATCAAGACAAATATTAATTAGGTTATTGAAACAGTAGGTTATTTAATGGATATAAAAATTTTCATCCTCCAATCTTTTGCATGTAAATGTAGGTGCGTGCATGTCAAATAATCCAATGGAAAAACCGTGTTGACTCCAATTAAATGATTCAGTATCAATTTCAAGGAAAGAACTCCAATGTTGTGATACTCGCAATAACGTTTGCCTGATCTCTTCATACAATCCAAGATCTCGGCACAACTGACTGGACAATTATCCTCCACCATTTTATGGCTCGTTTTCGGGAAAATATGGGATGGTTGCATGAGTGGACCAGATGTGGTAATTGTAGGAAACGTTTGTATATTATCAGATCTTTGTGGCTAAAATACGGGATGGTTGCATGTGTGAAATAGGATGTCTATAGGACCAGATTGCAATAATCTTCTACATATGATGGTTACTACTTGAGAAGTTTTCTAATGTTGATATTTCGTAATATATTTGTAGGGATGGATGGCAACCTGTACATTGTGTACTATATAATTCTCAGGATTTTAGTGTGCTGGTGTCACGTGATGTCTTGACATTTCACTCCAGCCCCGTTGACCATCATTGCTGGTGGTTGGTGTACTGGACTTACTAACATATCGTCCACAGAATTACTGAAAAAGAAATGAACAACCATTATCACAAACACGTTTGGTGATTTCTTACTCAATCTTTTACATGGCTGCCTAGAACTAGCTGATATTTCGGAAATCCTCTATTTAGTACCCTGTTGCAGGAAAAACTTGCGGTGCCCAAATCAAGTTAGGCATCGCTTTAAATTCAGAGTTTGTCAGTCTGTTAAGCTGGACTTCCATTTTCATCAAAAATTTCCCTGTCAACAATTTCTTTTGAATTGTGAGCGGTCAAGTAGAACTGATTTATTTGGATGATCACAATTCGAATGAAATCAAGCAAAGTTCTCCTCGAATACACTCTTCCAGAAAATACGTCACTTTGGCTAATTTTCAAATCAAGGTTGTAGAATTATGCCTGGTTTATGAAATCTCCCTTCCCAACAAAGAAACACATGTGTGCCGATTAGATTAAATGAGAAGGCTCAATATGGAACACATTTTTCATGTTGAGGCCACTGAGGTTATACAGTATTATATAGGTATATGATACCTTAGGTATTGTTTCTCAATCAAGACGTTTTAACAACTTTGTCAAGAAACAATCTTCAGTATTAGTTCAGGTTGTAGAAAGCCTGTGACGCTTGACAACATGCCTTAAAACCATTGATTAATATATCATGTAAGAGAATATTTCGATTACTTTACCTTCTACTGAGAGGAGTATTTGGTAGACTAAGGCGATGGCTTGATGAATAACGTGGAGGACGAGATGTAGTTAGCGTTGCATGTTTATTGCTTCCTTTAAGTAGATTATTTGAAAAGTTACTGTTTGTCGACGGCAGTGGAAAATTCAGTGCATAAACGGCCTTCATAGGAGCCGTAGAAAATGTATTCCTATTGGCTGAAACATTTGTAGTTCCATTCCATAATTGAGAAGAATTGTTATTATTAACCGTAGGCCCATTTGTAATGACGTTATTCTTATCACGTTCAGCTGGAGTTAAGGGGTTTGTAATATTCGAGTTCTGAGTTACACCGTTTGATAAGCCAGAGTTTAGCGTAAATTTTGAAGTCGGTTGGGTAGAGAACGATCTCCTAACTTTAGCTCTTGGTCTATAGTCCTGTGTATCATGTATGATATCTTGTTGAGATGTCCGCTTTTCATTTTCTCGTACATCTTCACCCGCTGTGCTAGCATGTCCCAAATTATTGTCCATTGATGCAGGCACAATACGAGGATTGCGTGGTCGATAATGCCTCCTAAATAATAAGCCGTGTTGTTAAATTGTGTAAACCTTAAGCCAGTTTTCCACTTCAATCGTACCGAAACATAGCGTATTTCTGTGTTTCCTGAGCGGTAGTATGCAACTGATGACTTCGACATAAATGAAAATGCTACGGTACGTTACGATTCAAGTGGAAAACAGGCTTTATGTGACAGTAGTTGAGTAGTACCATAATCTGCCAAGATTAAATTATCATTTGACTTTGTGCCCGAAACATTGCACATGTAATACATGGAAATAGCTGATATATTGTTTAGACAGTGATTTGAACCTCGCGTATAATTCGCAACTGTAAAAGTAATGGCTACTATAAACTAAACTAACTTTATTCATCCTGGATTGCTTTGACAGTTCCAAGCTGTATGTAACACTGAGAACTCCTATAAGGGCCCATCACGTCCTACAGGGGGGAGACCAAAACTAAACTTTTTTTAACTGGACAACTTTTCAGTTCTAAACTGTTCTCCGAAGAGAGTCCATGACAAAACCTGCGATGTTTTATAGAACTGAAAGCAGGCGAAACCTTTCTGCCCATGACTAGAAGTTTAAAATACAGTGGCTATATCAGTTGCAGGACATGATGAACATAGATGAAGAATGCATGACTAACCAACTCGTCGGTTTCAGTTCATCCTTATAATGATCTGATTCGTGGAAACTGTTTCGTAATGATATCGATGAATCAAGAAACGAACCAAGTTCTTCCAGTCGACAGTCTAACGAAGAACTCGCTCGATCTATTAGCACTCTAAACAAAAAAAGCAAAATCTTGGTAACGAGTAATGCAGACAATTAATGTTTTAAAGAGGAAACGAACAAAAGTACTAGTGATATAGTAGCAAGACGATTGTCTATTGATCACTTGAAGAATTTATTGAACTATTGTATGATTCGATTTAACTCTCTTCAAAATCGACACTTTAAACACATTAAAAGACTAAACGTATAAATCTTTAAACACAGTGTAAGATCTAAACTCTTAAAATCGACACTTTAAACACATTAAAAGACTAAACGTATAAATCTTTAAACACAGTGTAAGTCTAAACGATTAAAATCGACACTTTAAACACATTAAAAGACTAAACGTATAAATCTTTAAACACAGTGTAAGTCTAAAGGATTAAAATCGACACTTTAAACACATTAAAAGACTAAACGTATAAATCTTTAAACACAGTGTAAGTCTAAACGATTAAAATCGACACTTTAAACACATTAAAAGACTAAACGTATAAATCTTTAAACACAGTGTAAGTCTATAAGGATTAAAATCGACACTTTAAACACATTAAAAGACTAAACGTATAAATCTTTAAACACAGTGTAAGTCTAAAGAATTAAAATCGACACTTTAAACACATTAAAAGACTAAACGTATAAATCTTTAAACACAGTGTAAGTCTAAACGATTAAAATCGACAGAGCAAGCGCTTTTCACCTCTGAGATCGTGGGTTTGATTCTCGCTACGAACTCATACATGACACTTATGTGAAAAGAGTCAGAGCAAGCGCTTTTCACCTCTGAGATCGTGGGTTTGATTCTCGCTACGAACTCATACATGACACTTATGTGAAAAGAGTCAGTCAACGCTCTACCGAAAGTCGTGGGTTTGATTCTCGCTACGAACTCATGCATGACACTTATGTGAAAAGAGTCAGTCAACGCTCTATCGAAAGTCGTGGGTTTGATTCTCGCTACGAACTCATACATGACACTTATGTGAAAAGAGTCAGTCAACGCTCTACCGAAAGTCGTGGGTTTGATTCTCGCTACGAACTCATACATGACACTTATGTGAAAAGAGTCAGTCAACGCTCTACCGAAAGTCGTGGGTTTGATTCTCGCTACGAACTCATACATGACACTTATGTGAAAAGAGTCAGTCAACGCTCTACCGAAAGTCGTGGGTTTGATTCTCGCTACGAACTCATACATGACACTTATGTGAAAAGAGTCAGTCAACGCTCTATCGAAAGTCGTGGGTTTGATTCTCGCTACGAACTCATACATGACACTTATGTGAAAAGAGTCAGTCAACGCTCTATCGAAAGTCGTGGGTTTGATTCTCGCTACGAACTCATACATGACACTTATGTGAAAAGAGTCAGTCAACGCTCTGCCGAAAGTCGTGGGTTTGATTCTCGCTACGAACTCATACATGACACTTATGTGAAAAGAGTCAGTCAACGCTCTGCCGAAAGTCGTGGGTTTGATTCTCGCTACGAACTCATACATGACACTTATGTGAAAAGAGTCAGTCAACGCTCTGCCGAAAGTCGTGGGTTTGATTCTCGCTACGAACTCATACATGACACTTATGTGAAAAGAGTCAGTCAACGCTCTATCGAAAGTCGTGGGTTTGATTCTCGCTACGAACTCATACATGACACTTATGTGAAAAGAGTCAGTCAACGCTCTACCGAAAGTCGTGGGTTTGATTCTCGCGAACTCTACATGACTCCCACAGGGAGAGTTGACAGGGTGGGTTGGGATCAGCCCCTCTAACTGACCCTTCCACCGTAGCTGTGCTCTGTGATCAGACATGAGTCATAAGGTGGCTGCCAGAGGCGCCCTTAGAAAGCCTTCGACTCGGTCAGGTTCAGCTGCAAGTAAGGATGATTATCACCCCCCCCCACACACACACACACACACACACACACAGTCACACACACACATTAAAAGAATATAGCCGAGGTTATGCCTGTACAATTACTGTCAGTGGTTTGACTGTAACTAAATGAAACAGTTGGGGAACTTCAAACAATGACGTGAGGTGAAAAACATTCGCGAGAAAATAAAGACAGATACCAACAAAATAAATGTAAAATGAATAACTGACCTTCCACCTCTGCCAACTCTCCTCCTTGCATAACCAAGCAATCTCGAGGGTCTTGATAACGACGTTAAGGAATATCTATACTGAGGATGTCCAGGGCATTCCCATGGCCAATTTCCTTCTAGTCGAGGCTAAAACCCAAAAACAAAGTGAAGTTAAATATGGAAATATGGGATCACCTATAGTCCTATATAAGACATAGAGGATAGCCTCGGCAGCTTGTTGTGTTGAAATTCACATCAAACGGTAAAACCTCAATGGTTTATTACTGTACATATACACAGTACACAACTGTAGGTATAAATGTGACGTAAATAGCTTGCAATGATTGCTACTTAGTCACATTCAGAACATTAAGTACAAGCTTTCTGCCTGTTTCCGATTACGGAGTTTAATCCGAGAATTAGTAGAACTAATTTTGCCGGCATTTTGCATCATAGCGCTCGTGTAAGGAAGCAAAAAAATTAAAAATCTTATGTTTTATCATATGTGTTGAACATTACCACAAACTGATATAAACACAATTTTTAATCCACACCTCCCCTCGTCGCATGTTTAAGCTTCCTATTGTCTCGTTTGAACCGTTTCAGTGTTTATAACGCCACTGGATCAAGTTGCTCATTACGTATATTAAATAGAGTGTGATAAAGAGTACAACAGTCATTATTGATAAACCTACCGCTAAGTATCGACAACCGCGTCTTCTCTTAAACGCATAAACACCATCTAGGTCATCAACATCGTCATCAGGTTCGGAAGGAAGGTCAGGCTGAAAAACGTTTTTGAATAACGAAAATTTTGAAAATGAGTTTTACATCGAAGTGAGCCATTTCGAAGTTTATGAAGAGACTGGGACCGAGTGTTAAAAAGTAACAAAACAAAATGAATATATGGAAAGAGCGCTTCAAAATTAACGAGTACAAAAGTTGACTACATTTGGATAAATAGGGTATGAATAGCAAGCTTTCAAAAATTACATTTTATTGGCGGACGCGCGTTTCCCCAAACCTCCAAACATTTCATAGTAATTTGTTAATAAAAGCTCATTATTCACACCATCTTTAACCAAATGTAGTCAAACGAGTGATTTCTTCGTTTTGTTAGTTTTTAACACTCGTTTCCAGTCTCTTCATTAACTTCAGAATGGCGAATGAAGTAAATTTAATAAGCAACTAACCTGATTGTACGGACTGCCAATATTTTGAGGAGTAAGCCGTTGTTTTCGTCTGTAAATACCATAACATTTAAATTCAGTATATACTTATGGTAACTACATGCATTCCCAACCTCAGAGAAACACGAAGAGAAAATTTCAAACATGTTCCCTACAGCCCCGGTCACACGAGGATGAGAGATTGAAAGTTGATGAAAGTTGTTTCCGCATTAAGAACAGTTAACCAACGTCGTCTGCCGCCCACTCTCTCTCATCCTCGTTTCATCAGAGCTTTATTGCACTGCCCATGTAAAATGAAAATTTGCCTCAAGTGGAATTTAAACTCGCACCTTCGCGGGTATTCCGGCCCTCAGCTCTACCGGCCCTCCGCTCTACCTATACTCAGCTCTACCTATACTCAGCTCTACCGGCCCTCCGCTCTACCTAACTCAGCTCTACCTATACTCCGCTCTACCTATACTCAGCTCTACCTATACTCGGCTCTACTTATACTCGGCTCTACCTATACTCGGCTCTACCTATACTCGGCTCTACCTATACTCTGCCAGGATTGGAGTTTTATCTAATGTAAGTGACGAAAGATTTTCCTAACGACTTAAACGCCGTCCATACGAGAAGGTGTTTGTTCCATAGCTCAATAGGTAGAGTCAGACCTAGAAAAAGATTTTTCTTCCAGGCAGCACAATCCCAAAATAAATATTTCTTGTGTAAATCAAATGTAGCCTAAAACTTTCCGCATATCTAGGTTTCAGATAGTGTGCTGTATTACCACCTCCACACATGACAATTTCATTTCAAAAATACATTTGGAATTTTAAATCAACAGGCAAATTGTATGGCATTTCAATATATAAGATTACAAAAATTTCCTGCTGGATGTAATTAAATTTTATTAAAAAATTCCTGGCAGCGGTACTGCCGGACATTTTCCAGCACTGGGAGTCAGGCCTCGAAATAAGTGCCGGTCACCGGTCACTGATCGGTAAAATTTCAGTTTGATCGGCAAATATCGTCGCCTGGCGGACATGCGTGACCGGTAATTTTTTTAATAAAAACATACGTTCAAAAATGGAGCAGATTGTTGAATGTTGATTTCCAAGTTTCCAAAGAAGTGTATGTCCGTCTGCGCAGGCTAATAAGGGCGGCGAAGTGACACATTTTGTCGTACGGATACGATATACCGCAAGCATTGACCATGCATTGTGCCTAAGGGCTGTTCTCCAGTTACGCGTTTTTCACACGTGCGACAGAAAAGTTTAAATCTTTCATATTAGTGCAAATAACCTTAACAAATACACATTAAATCATACACAAAACTGAATGCTGTCCTTTTATAAATTTAGTTATTTCATAAGTAGGATGTCAAGCGATTTCAACTTTTACGTGCGTGAGAACGCGTAACTGGAATGCAGCCTTGCAGCATGCTCGCAACTCAACTCAAATTACAGTTGTCATTTGCGACTTAACAAACAGGCATGGCAAACAATTGCTCTGTTTGTCAGCGTCCAAATACGAAATATTCATGTGTAAATTGCGCTGCAATTACTACTACAGCTTTGATAATCACCATGCATACTTCTACTTTGTATACAAATACAATTAAAATGCACAATTAAAATGCACAATTTGTATACAAATACAATTAAAATGCACAATTAAAATGCACAATTGTTACGAGTCACGCGAAAGATGAGGGGGGAAAGAAGCTAAGGAATGACAATGACCGGCATAAATTCCGCTGTGACAAGTAAATTTAGTGATTCACCGGTCATAATGACCGGTATAACTGTTGAGAATTGCCTCCCGTTGATTCCCAACATAAATTAAAATTACAAACACTGGGTATTTCTATAGTTTTATTGACAAAAATCTCATGCTTCGCTGTGTTCTTTCCCGAATCCCTCGCTATGTAAACATTCTCAACGGTATATTCCGGAGCTGTCCGACTGTCCGCGAGTATACTCGCATGTCCCACGCGATAATAAAAAAGCTAAATATAGTTTCCGACACTCTCCCCCCATATAGCTTCTTGAAGGTATATGTACTGAAAGGAAACTTAAATAATCTCAATGTTACTAATGTAAGGTCTACTAAATGTCATCTATTAGATATAAACTTTAACGTCTCAAAAGGATATACTATGTTCAATTTCTTGTTCAAATTTCATCATCGTTCGCTTGCTCTTGGATGCGTAACCTTGCGGTGACCGCTGCCTCGCGGGTTGGTCGAAATACTGCAGCTTCTGGATTGAGGTTTTCACTACCGGTTGATGGTCTTATGTCACACGACAGTTCAAGTGGGTAGAGTAGATTGACTGCTCTCTCTAAATGACCGTTTCCCGTCTTTATTTTCGCTGCTCGAACGACCCCGTCTCTTCCTGGGTAAAGTTCCTGAACCATTCCGAGCGGCCACTTTCCTCTATTGCGCTCTTCAGAATAAATTATGACGACATCACCCACAGCTAGGCTGAATGGCTTCGTATCATGTTTTAAATTATGTCGTTCTCGTAAGGCTCGTAGGTACTCTTTCGTCCACCTGTTCCACATGTGATCTTTACATTTCTTTAGGTATTTCGCGCGTTTACGTAGGTCAGGATCGGCTTCGTGGTAATGTTCGGGTTCCGGAAGGTGGGTCGATCCAACAAACTGCAAACTGTTCGGTGTCAATGTTGGCATTTGGATATCATCTTCTTGGTACCCTAGAGGTCTGTTGTTCAATGTTGTTTCAATGTCTAGAAGGACATCTTCGAGTTCTTTCTTGGTTAAGAAGCCATTCCCAATAGACTTGTACAACGCGGACTTGACCAAGCCGACCATACGTTCGAATTGGCCCCCCCACCAGGGGGCCCGACTTAGATTGAACTGCCATTTTATTTTTTCGTTGGCCAGGAAATGATTGAATTTTTCATCTTGTTGTGCCTTCTTCAACCACTTGGCTGCCGCAACGAAGGTCTTTGCGTTGTCGGAATAAATCTTTTCCGGTCTGCCTTTCCTCGCGATGAGTCGCTTGAGGGTAGGGATAAATTCATCGGTTTCCATGCTCGTGGTTAACTCTAGGTAGAGGGCTCGCGTTAGACTACATGCGTAGAGGGTTATATACGCCTTTCCTTCCGTCTTTTTGGTGACGCGATACTTGATGGGGCCGGCGAAATCGACGCCTACGACCTGAAACGGACGATCACCTTCTGTTCGGTCTACGGGCAAGTTTCCTGGAGGTGGTTTACTAACTGGCTTAGCATGAAATCGTCGACACCCGTGGCATCCCTTTACGGTCTTCTTTACAAGTTGTCTTAGCCTTGGCACCCAAACGTTCTCTCTAATCTTGGCCATAGTGAGCCCGACTCCCCCGTGTAACGTGCGTTGATGCGCATCTTCTACGAGTTTAGTGGTGTAAAGATGACTGTCCGGTAAAAATACGGGGTATTGACCTTGCAACCGACCTTTGCACACGAGCATACCATCTTCATTCATTTGTACACCCAGGCGTTGCTTATCGTCGCTCACTTTGTCGTCTAGAATTGCTTGGGCTTGTTTTACATAAGCGCTGTGTTGGTCGTTTATCTCTTGCGTTGTCAACGGCCCCGACCGTGTCTCTTTCTTAGTTGCTTTCGCTCGACAATTATACACAAATCGAGAAATCCATGCGTTTACTCTCACAGCTTTGTTGAGGGAAAACTTTGTCAAGATTTCATCAGGTGGGTTGGTTGGTTCTACAGCTAACTTGAACACTGCTCTTGTCGCTTTGGCTTCGGCTTCGCTTTCATGGGTTGCAGTCGTTACTATATCTCTTGGCCACTCGCTCTGATTGGTCAACCACGGAGGTCCTTTCCACCACAGTAGATTTCCAGTCACCTGTCCTCCCCGACTTCCCAGGTCAGCAGGGTTGTCTTGACTTGGGACATGACGCCAAATTATATCTGGGCAAGCTTGAATCTTTCTCACCCGATTGGCCACAAATTGTTTATATTCTCCTCCCCCTTTTAACCACTGCAGCGCTACCGTGCTGTCTAACCATCCGTAGGTTCCCGTAACAGGCATTCCATCAAGCGCTTGTTGAACATTCATCATCAGATTTGCTGCCATATGGGCGGAAACAAGTTCTAGGCGAGGTATGCTCAAGTCCTGTTTAGCTAATCTTGCTCTGGCAGCGACTAAACCCACGTTGGTTTCATCACCTTGTTTCACAATTGCATAAAGGGCTGCACAAACTCCTTTCCCACTTGCATCCCCGAATGTGTGCAGCTCAATTTCTTCTACAGCTTCGCGCTGAGTTGTCAAGGCTCTCGGTACAGTTACACGTCTAGGCAGTTCCCTTACCCATCGACCATATTCTGCTGCTTGTGGTTCTGGAAGTGATGCATCCCATGCTGTTTTTGCCTTGCACGTTTCTCGGTAGATTGTCTTTCCCTTGAGTGTCACAGGTGCTACAAGGCCCAAGGGATCATAAATGCTTGCTAGATTGCTCAAAAGTTCTCTCTTAGTCACGTTCGGTTTCATATCGGGGACCACAACACTGAACTCATCAGCTTCCTTGTTCCAGGACAGGCCGAGAAGACTTGACTCCGGATCGGTTGGTGCACCAAGTTGCTGTTTGGCAAAGGTATTCTCCGTCTCCACGCTGGACTGTTCGCTTTCCAACTCAGGATCATTTGAATGCCATTTGTGTAATGTGAACTTGGCATCTTGAAAAATCTTAATAGCTCCTTCCTTCAAATCCTTTGCTTCTGCTACGGTTGGCTTACCACTCAGTAGGTCGTCAACATAAAGGCTTCTACGGATTTCAGCGACCAGCTCTGGTTCACGTTCTTTCCACGATTCCAGGTGACGTTCGACGACACCGCCGAGAAGGAACGGCGAACACACTAGACCAAATAGCGCTCGCGTGAATCTCAATGTTTCGACTAACGACTGTTTATTGGACTTCCAATGGAATCTGAGTGAGTCTCTCTCTGCTTTCCTGATACGGACTTGTAAAAAAGCCTGTTTAATGTCCCCGGTCACTGCAACTGGGTGAAAACGAATGCGTACCAACACGTTCCACAACCGATTTTGAAGCGGAGGTCCTGCATAAAGACAATCATTAAGGCTTGGTTCTTGTGTGTTTTCTCGAGCTGAAGCATCGTAAACAACGCGTAGTTTGGTTGACTCAGCTTGTGTTCTCATAACAGGTTTGTGGGGTATGTAAAATTCTTTCCCGGTTGGTGGTTCGGTTGCAGATTCCACTATCCCCTCTGACTTTTGTTGATTGATCACCTCTGCATACTTCTCCGTCATTTCCATCCGTTGTAGCTTGTTATGGAGTTGCGTTAGTCGCCGTAAACTGCCTGTTTTATTATTTGGTAGAGGGGGGTGGCTCCCTTTCCAAAGTAAACCTGTCTCGTACCACCCTTCCTGATGTCGTACTAGCTGCTCACGAAATTCTGCATGGACCGCATATTGATCATGTTCAGGCTTGTCCTCCAGCCCCAATACGTCCAATCTACATAAGTCCTCGTAATCTGACTGGCTTGTCTGTGTCAGAAGCATCTTTGAGTGGTCGAATTCCTTACCCGGAGACATCATTGTCCATCCGAACCTGGTCTTCTCCGCTACCGGTTCTCCTGGGAGACCAACACGGGGTGGTTCTGCTGTCTTGATAGCTGCGTACGCGCTGGCGCCCAGGATGAGATGTACTGGTAGAAGGGGTTTAGTATCGTTGTCCTCCATACTTACTCCCTCGAGATGACGATACGAATCAACCAGAGTTTGGTAATTTGGATTGGCGATCATTAGTAGGTTTCCGCGTTCGACTCTTGTCACTTCAACATCCATCTTAAAACTGTTGTCAGTAGCTCCCACGCTGATGGTAGAAATAGACACTTCACGAATAGTCGAACCCAACATCATTTCTATTTGTCGAACTTCTTTGGATTGAGATCGTCTTGGAAGTTTGTCCAAGAGAGCAGCAGAAGCATAAGAGCTTCCTGCTCCTGTGTCAAGTAGTGCTCGACATATCACACCCTCAACGCTTACGTCGACGACTGGGTATACCACTTGACTTGCACTCCCCCCTGTCGCTACCTTAAGACTTTCCTTCACAGTGCATATCGAAGTGTGGTGCTTTAGGTTGCACTTCTGACAAACAGTTGTACTTCGACACTCATTAGCTCGGTGTTTTAGGCCCGTACAATTAAAACACAATTTCTTCCTGGCTAGAATCCCCTTCCTGTCATCCACACTCACCACGCGTGTACACTCTCGTGAACCATGGCTGACGTCATCACAATACACACAAGGGCGTTTACGGGCATTGGCATTAAATAGACTTTCTCGTCTACTCCCCTTTCGTCTCTCTTTGTCACCGTCCTTGACAATCTCTTTATCACTAAGGTTTATGTCCCTCCATTGTTTTAAAGCTCTAAGATGTGCTAAATCCCATTCTTGCCAATTCCCTTGTCCTCTCACTAGGTCACTCTTTATCCCTGGCAATTTGTCAAGCACACTTCGTGTCATTCCATTCACACGCTCAACTTTTCCCATTGTTTCAAGTGATTGTACATTAAAAAGCAGAATTTTATAGAAATTGTTTATCTCACCTGGATCAGTACTTTTCACCACTGGTAACTCGAGAATGTTCTGGACATAGGCATTGACAATTTCGCTCGGTTTGCCGTACTCTCCTTTTAAGATATTTTTTGCCCTTTCATACCCCTCTACGGTTAGAGGCAACCCATCGATATCAGCTCTCACCTTCGGCTTAACAAACTCTTTCAAATAGGTAAACTTCGTAACAGGCGACAAATCGGCACCGTCAATTTCAGCAACAAATTTGTTCCAAAAGGGTGGCCAATTCGCACATTTCCCATCGAACTGCGTAATAGATAGCTTCGGTAATTTTGTCGACGCCGCTTTCTTTACTTGGTTTTGCTGTCCCGTTGCTAACACCTTCTGAAACTTTAGCTGTTGTTCATAAAGTTCACGTTCGTGACTCATTTTTTGTTCGTGCTTTTCGTCCTCGATTGCCCTCTCTTGTTTAACTGATTCGGCCAATTCAACGGCCTGGTTTTCCTTCGCTATATTTTCTTTTATTCGTTTTAATTCTAACAATTTCTCGTCGGCCGTTTTCAAAGTTCCTTCAATGTCGACAAGCCATTCTTGCACTTGCTCTTCAGTTTGTTTCTGACCGAATTTCAATTCTATAATGTCATCTTTTAAGGCGTGACTCGCTTCGATTTTACCTTTGATTGACGCTTCGTGTCTAGTTATCACATCGAGGTTTCTCGTTTCGATTTCTTGTTCGCTTTTACCCAACGTAAATTTTAATGTTCGTAGTTTCCCATCAAGCTCTTGTAGTTTTGTCTCCATGCTTTTCTTTCACTTCATCACTCGATAAATAGCGGCCGTATATCACTGTAGTTTGTACGCTGTCGTTTAGTTTCGATTTGTCACTCGATAAATATGCTAGGTTCTTGCTCTTGTTCGAGCTTAAAATCTCACAAATCCCATCCCGGAGGTGCCAGTTGTTGAGAATTGCCTCCCGTTGATTCCCAACATAAATTAAAATTACAAACACTGGGTATTTCTATAGTTTTATTGACAAAAATCTCATGCTTCGCTGTGTTCTTTCCCGAATCCCTCGCCATGTAAACATTCTCAACGGTATATTCCGGAGCTGTCCGACTGTCCGCGAGTATACTCGCATGTCCCACGCGATAATAAAAAAGCTAAATATAGTTTCCGACATAACATCCAGATTTATTTTGAGGCCTGCTGGGAGTCAAATTTTCGTTTGACTTGGGCACTTAAGAAAACATGGTTGAAATTCTCTCACTGAAATGAGTTGTGTAAATATCTTAGTTGATACAAAATCTGCGCTAGACTTACTTGAACTCAGCAAAAATATCGCCTCTTCGGTATTTAACATCTTCAGTCTTGTAAAAAATAAAGAACACATGAGCAAATGACACACATCAGATACTGTACATATAATTTAAAAGACCTTACTAAAAGTATGCATGCCACTATGGCTAAGGGCCTGTTCATATGAGCCGTGTTGGCCCAAGTTGTTATTTGTTTCACATGAGGCGGGCTAGCCAGGCAAAGCGCTATAGAAATTCCCGCGTGATTTTTGGCTGGAACGCAATATTTTTTAGTTTTGAAAAATGGTATTTTTATTGACAGAAGTCTTAATATTGTTGACTTCTTACTTGTTTTGAATTCTTAGATGCTTTCTAGACAAAATAAAGCATGGTGCGTTGTGACACAATTTCCACTAAGTGTGTTCATATATGAGCCCGGGAAGGCGAGATCTCGGCAAACCGGGCCAGCACGGTTCTCATGTGAATCAAATCTCAAAAACATATAAAAACAATATACGAGGCGAGATCTCGCCACTTGCGAGACAGCCCAGCTCATATGAACAGGCCCTAATTGGCGAGAGAGTCTCGTTTTCACGATTGAGACTTGGCTGTAGAGACTCCAGTTTTGTTACTAGTGACCTGGTTATTGCAGTAAAGCTCTTGTAGATTATTGTTTAGTGGTAGGACCGCATTTCGTAAGTATATCACGAGAAATAAGACGAAAGCGAGACTCCATAGCGAAGCCCTTGCTGGGGACGTTTGCCTTAACTCAAGTATATTTACCCGTTCATCCTTGTCATGTGTTTCAGAGCCCGGGGTAATTCTGTTGCCAGTTGCAGTCGTAGCTCCTCCATACAATGGAACATTATTGGTTTCTTGAATCTTTAACAACTCCAGACATTGAGTTAACAACTGCCCAGTGAAATCGCCTGATTTATATCTAAACAGAAAAAGACAAGCAAATTTTCATAAACAAATGGCAATTGACAATGCTACAGGAAAGAGACTATTAATTTGGTGTAGTGCTGTGCTGTGCGCCGGAGTATTGGCCTATTTTGCCGGAGACGGAGTATTGGCCTATTTTGCCGGAGCTGGAGTCCGAGTTTGTTTAATTCCGCCAAAACTCCGGCAGCACGTATTTGTGCTGCAAACTACTGTCGGACATCGGCGAAAAACCTGAATCCATCGACGAAAAAGTAAATACTTGCATTGAGCTATTGATACTGCGTATAGGCTTGGCACAAACATAGTACGAAATGTTCATGCGAAGTGTTAAATCAAAAACAAAGACAGTGCTTCCACTTTGAAAGGTGAAATTTTCATTAAATTACGAATGTGTCGGAGCTAGAAACTTTCTGCTGGAGTTTTTTAGCCGGAGGTGAAAAAGCCGGAGTTTGCACAGCACTAATTTGGTGACGGATACAGTATTACCGCGTATTCTTCCTCTCGTCCTAAAAAGTGTCTTGTTTTCGTGTCAAACCATTCAGGAATGTGACTACATTCCTACGCCTACTATTGCTAAAATGTCAAACGGTCAGCGTAGGTACAGTAGTGACACCAGAAAGCTGCGGATTGATAGAGATTCGACTACCTGAAGAATACAAGGAAAATGTCAACGTTTCGCCCACTTGCCCGCGGCAAGTGAATATCATGACGGGCAAGTAAACGTTTTATCTTCATCCAGACAAGACTTCTGGGTAGATTGCTTCGAAGAATTTGTTGGTGAAAGCTAACCAACTTTGGGACAACTGTTGTAAATAGTTAGTTCACTCATCTTAAAAAACGTGCATAATTTCTCACACAAAATAGTCTTATTTTCACCAAACAGCGATAATTTAACAATACCCGGAAAGCATGCTTTTTCCCAGAAGAATTCCACGCAACCCGCGGGACTATCACGTGTCCGTATATTGTTCTTATTACGTCATTCTCGACACAACCGGACTCTGAATGTTTTGACACGAAAATATGACACGTGGGCGAGAGGAAGGATCCGCGGTTTTGGTAAAGCCCACTTTCCACCAGACGAATTTGCTCGCACGAACAGTAAAAAAGTAGGAGCGAATTTCTTCGCTAACCAATCACATTGCCAAGATTTGTTTTTCGCTTCGTGCGAACAAATTCGCCTAGTGGAAAATGGCTTAATATACGTTTTCCCAAGAGATTATGATCACAGAGTACTTACATACAGAAGTCTCACTTCAAGTTAATTTAGCGTAAGGGATTTTTTCAGTCCGCCATGTTCTTAGCAAGTGCTCCAAAGAGAGGTCGTCACTCCCCTTGAACACACACTGAAATTTAATGTTCCAGGGGGTAAACGCCTCTCTTTGCCAAGAACATGGCTGCCAACTATTTTGGTAAAAACTACCTTACGGTTTTCCCGCAGAAGTGAGACCTCCGTATGTAAATACTCTGTGTTAGGATGCCATACCTGAAATCAAAAACATCCACTGTAATTTGTAGAACATCCTTCTTTCTTTGTTCCCGTCTCTTCACCATGTCAAGAATTGTGCTAGACATGCAGTATCAAGGTTAAAACATTCTGTGCCAGTGTAGGCAGTGGCAAGAAAGCTGGATAGGGATACAACTACCTCAATACGACGACAACTGGCTACTAACTTCCCGATGAAGGGCCTCGAAACGTCGAAGTTCTCCTTGTATTTTTCAGGTAGTTGTATTCCTATCAATCTGAAGCTTTCTTATTATGAAGGTTATTTAACTCAAGCAAGGGCTAGAACATCTGAGGCAGTCAATTGTACTAGATGAGACAATGTAATGATCAACAACAAAGTTTTCACAAGCAAGTCAGATCAATGGCCATTGAGGCCGGCTCACGGATGAGATAAAATAAAAGTGACAGAAAGAATTAGAGCAGTTTGCAGTTGTTTTTGCAAACGAGCACCGTGCGAATTTTGCCATTGGTCGTGCTTCTTTTATTGCCAATGGACCTATTCCCTAATGAACAAAATTTTGATCTCAACAAGTCAAACTTTTTTTCAGAAAGTGGTATCAATTTCCCGTGCGTGAAAATGACCGAAAAACGGCAAACTTCGCAGGGCTATATTATCCGCATTTTACAACATTTCGCAACGAAATAATTTTGTGATGCTCTTTCAAGCTGTGATGAAATTTTTGTCTAGACTTGTCTAGATCAAAATTTGTTCATTAGGGAATAGGTCCATTGCCAAGTGCCAACTATCAAAAGAACGAACGCGTGCTCCAGCTCGATTTAATAATAGCTATTCCAACGCATTTTAGATTTTTGCAAGACTTTGCTGCAATACATACCATGCAGTGTTCAAATCTCTCCGTAGCTTCAACATTTTTTCGTACGATAACTCTTCATTCTTCCGGTTCTAAACAAAATGATTGATATCATAGTTCAAACACAATACATATATGAAATACAGACACGCCAGCAGTGACTCACCCATAATCGCTAGAATTATCTGTATTTCTGATTGTATAAAACCGGCATTGCAATATGTTGCCGCTACGAAATTAATATATGAAGCTTGTCATTTATGAACGAACGAACTTTCGTAACAAATTACGGAAATTATCGTTAAAAAATCGAAAGGAATGACGTCACCTTATTCGGTCGACATTATGACGTCATTATAAAATCGGTATCGGGTAAATTGTTGCATGAATAATCTGTAATTTCCGATTGTGGCGCAATCTGTCAATCACTACTCACTCGCCCCCTTATAATTGACGATGTGTCGGCCACTGCTTGGTGGGATGCATTCAGGCACATTGACACCAGGCATATCCATTACCTTTCTCGTCTGCATCTTCTCAATCCTCCGTCTGAAAGCTATGTATGGATCATTCGGTGATGACGCATCCTTTTTCTCTGACTTGAGTGTAAGAATTAAACCATTCATACAACTTCTGCTGTGTTTCTTCACCCAGTAATTGTACACAGGTTCTAAATATTCTTCATCCTTTATCAGAGCTCTGGCAGCAGTTAACGACAACACCTGTCAAGAGTAGAACAACAAATATACATTGGACTGTATTACATTGGGCTTACAGAAATACTTACTACTGTTACATTGTTGACAAATATTTTCAGAAGGAAATCATGTGCAACATTTGTGTACTACTTTGTTTAACTAAAAACCTTTTTCCCCACTGGGATACCAGGATTCAAAGTATCCCATCTAAGAATCCAGTATCCCAATTCATGATACTGTACCCTGGAACCATCAAGTATATAGCACATGTCTCTCATTGTTATAAATCACAATAACAATAGGAGACTCAACAACTAGGCCACCATGTTGGAAATGAAAGGCTGCTTATTTTCAAGAAGGCACACCTGTAGCATTTAAAGCTTTTTGGAAACCACCACTGTTTCAAATTTTGTAATATCCAGTTCCTAAACAAGTTATTCACAGTTTGGTATCCAAAACTAAATTTAAGTTTCCTGTGGATATTAGGATACTGCAAATTTCAAACCCTGTTTCACAGTACAGTAAATTTTCAAAGCTGTACACTCTGTGCAAAGCTGTACAACCTTTGCTTGTTTCTTTGTTTTTAAGAATGCAATGAGTGCTAATATAGTGTCTAGAACTTGCATACCTCACTTCCAGAACCTTTCTCCAGCTTATCAATAAGATGTTCAAACTTTTCATTTGAAACCTTCTCCTACATTAGTAAATGTTAATATATTATGTATAAATTACTTCATTGGGAAATTGACCCAAAAAATCATGTTTGGCATAAAACAAGTACACATTTTATCAAAGGATAGATGAACAATATCTTCTGACCCCAAACACATGTAATGCACCCAGATGTATATATTCGGGTTATTTTGCATGGAAGGCAACAACAGACATGGGTAAGTCCCTCATTTCACTCAACAGTACTATCATCTGTCCTAGCTTGCCTTATCCTTGTTAAAGTTTGTCAACCATTCCGAGTCCTCATCATCCATGTCATATTCAGGCCGTTCATCTTCAACACCAAGAGCTGCAAAAATTCATTTAAACATTTTTTTACAAAACAGTAACTTGCATTACATGACCACCAAGACGTTGACAGGGGAGTGGGAAAAAACTTATGACATCATAAAGCTTTCCCAGAGGCATGACATCATAACTATAAAATGGAGAGAAGTGGTGTTTTGCAATATATTTGTTTTAACACAAAATCATTGACCAGAAGGTCCGAAACAGTAAATTGAAATCTTCAGCATTTTGATACTGTAACAGCTCCTTTGACCTTTATAGTACAGTATACTGTGTCTGATTGCAAAGATAAACTTGACATACGAACATAGGTAGTGATAAAAACACCACTTCTGAAAAATACATTAGTAAAACTTCAACATTTCAAGCGAAGGCTGTTCGTTGGGAAGTGCAGACGAAAGGCCTTCGTTCAAAACGTTGAAGTTTTACTTGTAATCTTTCAGGTAGTTGAATCAATCTGCTGATTGCAGCATTATGGACAAGGTTCTAACCTTGTATATGAATATACTGCTTTGGCATTTTGAAGTCGTCTTCACTGTCATCAATGAGCGAAGTATCAACATCAACTGGCTTGGTCTCAGGAGTAGGAATAACAAGTTGTTGTTTGTCACCATACACCTGCTGGGCTGAGATAGCTCGTTGAAGATGGTGCTCCTAAAATAACAATTTCTTTATCATTCAAAAGAAAATGGAAAGGGTTATTTTTTATAAATACTGTCTAACAATGCAGATGGAAAGCAGCCTTCGTTCTGAAAATGTGTAATTTAATAACCCCCCCCCCCTTCATGTTGACTTGTGTTCAAATAAAGTATAGGTTCATTGCATATTTAATTATGTTTACTAAAATAGCCATAAAACGTATTATATAAAACATTTTCCAGTGTTTTATACGTCAATAATAAATACTTTCTCTTAATGACTTAATATTACATTACATTTGTGCAAGAATGGCACATAAGTGGTACAGTATGTATGAAATATGCCTAGTGTTGTGAGAATTTACAATATAGCATTTTGTAAATTCTGAACACTGATTTGCTAGGAGCCGTGTTGAATTAATTCAATGTCAACACGGAAAATTTCTTTATTTTTCTTTGTGCTATATTTATTATAAAAAAAATATAAAACACTTTTCCGTATTGATATACAGTTAATATATCAACACTCGTGGAAATTGGGAAAACTCCACACAATTTTTCGTTCTCCCAATTTCCACTCGTGTTGATATAACTGTATATTCAAAGTTACCCCCCCCCCCCTCATTACACCATGCTCTTTTCCACAAATGATCATTAGCCCTGTAATGATTAAAATAGTCTGGTATTAAAAAGAGTAAAATGATAAAGTAGGGCACATCAAGACACAATGCATTAATATTCTCCTTATCATCTGATGTGGAGTCAGTAGTGATTCTTGCTACAGACTTGTGGGAAAAGAGTCGGTGATGTCAGTCAATGCTCTGCCAAAAGTTGTGGGTTTTCTCCGGGTTCCTCCCACAGGGAAAGTTAACAGGGTGGGTTCGGATAAACATAGTCAGGAAAGTCATATCATGAGGGCTGTAGCTATAGAGGTGTGGGGTGACACTCCCTTATTGGCAAATCATTCTCGTAGTCAGTTAAAATATTTGAGTGGCTTGGATTAATAAGTAATAGTATAGCAAAAATTTTGATAATTTTTTTACCCCCCCCCCCCAATTTTGAGAAAAGAAAGATTAATTAGCGGCTGAAATGTTGTTGGCAAATGCGATACTACACCTCCCCTGCCTCTTCACTACGACCCTCAATATCACAATTGTTGTAAAGATAAATGGTCTACTCTAGGTAGGCAAGGTAGGTAATATAAGTAAGCATAATACTTGATGTAATCGGTCACTGAAAACCCTCAATGGGGAGCAGTGCATATTTTAAGTATTTTACAATGGGGGGGGGGGGCAAAACCAAGATTAGAGTCCACTGTACACTCCCCAGAGTAAGATTTAGGACACTCAGGGTAAGGTTAGGGCCCCATCTGAGCCACTAACAAGTGGAGCCTCCAGGCCAAATACCCCCCCCCCCATATATATGTGAAAATATGCTTTGATGGGGTGTGAGCTGAATGTATATGTATAAATAAGTTTGTGTGTGTTAGCGTGGGACTAATCAATGACCAGTACATTCATTTCATGAGGCAAATATAGCCACAAACTGAGCAATATCATCACCAAAAACAACTCAATAATACCAACAACAATAAAACTGCAGTCAACAACATCATCTTTGCACTAAAACATGTATGCTGAATGTACCTATTTTTTCTTTCAAGGCTTGAAATAACGTTCCCAAAGATCCCGATCATGGTGATCGGCAGTCATGACTTTCCCTGCTTTTTTCAGGTTGGAAACCGAAACCCTGCTTTTCTGCCGATCATAAGCAATTTCTTGCCGACTGTTATTTCAAGCCCTGTCTTTTCTTACACATTTTCATTATACCTTCATTATGTTTTGCACACAACAGGGTTGCGACTGGAATTAACATCACAATATATTTGCACACTGAACACAAGATGTCACCCAAATTTAAAAGGGCTTGTAAAACATCAAACTGTTTTTAAAAACCCACCACCTGCCTAGTATGTCTTCCAGAAAAGATCCACACCCCTCCCATGGTAAAAGTATAATGTACTAGGATGTTGAAAGGGTCATTCCAGAAAAGATCCACACTTGACACTCCCCAATGACATGCAGGAAATCTCTGCAGTATGGACGGGGGAGAACAACTTGTTTCTGATAATTGTAAGTGTATTAGGACATCCGAATGGGGTAGGGAGGTTAACCTACAATTTCCTTGGTGGAGGAGGTGCGGATATTTTCTGGAATGGTCTAATTTTCTCTGCAGGAAAGGTCTGTATGACCAACTTACACTTTACATGAGAAAGTGAGGTTTTGTCCCTAGGCAAGCCATGATTTCTGGCCTATTAAAGCCAGGTTTACAAATAATATAGACACAGAACCAAAGACTGGTGCACATCAAACAACAAGGATAAACAATAAGATATTAATTATGCAAATTTATCACAGAATAAAAACAAAATTTTAAATTTATGCAAATATACACACATACAAGTATTTTTTCTAGCCAAACAACAGTTTTCCTGTAAAAATTCTATAAAAAATGTACTTATTTTTAAATAAAAATATCTGACGCGCGGATTTACGATTTTCGGCGCGAGATTTTAATTCATGATCATCAACTTCCGATGCAAGTGAGTAAAGGTCACGTGACTTACAAATTCAAAATAGTGTAAATTTCCAAAGAAAAACATACTTAAAAATTCAAAAATAATACGTAAAATGGACGGCTGCAAACTATATGCAAGCCATTAATATAAAATGATTTTTTTAATAATTATCATCAATGTCAGCCTAATTTATAAATAAATAACTTACGGTTTCCTCTTCTTTCTCCATTCCCGTTGGCATTTGAGGCACTGCGCGATTTATTGTGGACAATTCTGTCAAATCTGGCAGCTCCTCAAAACCATACACGGGAAGCGGTTTGTTAGAATCCAGTTGGCGAGCTCGAAATGACAATTTACTCATCTTGACACAGTTTTCTTCCAAGATGAGGTGAAGTTCGAAGCAAGTTTCTCGTCACCACTCCCACGGAGCTTTACAAGTAACGCTATGATGTTGATAAATAGTTGTTTTTCTAACGCATGTCGTACATTTTGTGGGTTATTTTCATTCTTTTTCAATCATTCTGATAGGATTTTCTTTTTGAATGCGTATTTTGAAAATCCATCATGGCGGCAAAATTGTGTTGCTGTTATTTCCTACCCATAATTCATCTGGAAAGATGCGGACGCATGCTCAGTCCATTTCCTTGGACAATCTACTCGAGGAGTGACAAAGAAGCGTGCAAACTTTAACAAGAAATTACTTTTTGCAGCTGGGTGGACAAATTTATTGAATTTTACTTCATGTTTGAAAGTTATGTAGTATATTGGGCCGTGCTGATTACTGGGCGCGACAAATAAAAAGTGGAGAGTACTTGAATTTTTTATAAATTGAAAATAGTCGAGAGCGTACAAGACACGTTTATATAGGTCTCTAGGACCTTTAAACTGAACAAAGTTATATATGTCTACTTGTATGCCTGTATGCAATGATTAAAAGAATCACACCGGCCATGTGTAAAGTGGAAATTACCTAAATGGAGACGAATCTTGTATCCAGTTGAATAATCAATCATGCAAATTGTACCAACTACAGCGACTTGTGTGCATTCTTTATACTGTAGACTGTAATATTAAAATCATTAATTCATATTAATCCATTGAGTGCCAATGCTCTCCCTTTGACCAGTAAAACGCATCTGGCATTAGACAAAGTAAAATAATGAAGTTGGGCACAATGCAATGACAGCAATGTAATGGGTTAAAGTTAATAAAGTCATCCTTTGAAAAATAAACTGTGGGTTTTGTAACCAATGGTTTGTGATACCTGCAACAAATGAAACACTAGTGCTGCATTTCCTGATCACAATTTAAGTGTTGTTAATTTTTGTGGGTTGACAATTTGAGGGCATGCTATAACTTGTGATTAGCTAAGGGCGAGGTACTGATGCACCCATGCCACTCTGGTTAGTCATGTTACAATTTATTACAATATTTGTGCAGGCGCGACACCAGACCTCATTGAATGGGGAGTGTAAGTGAATCTTGCCAAGTTATCAAGGCAAATTTTGCCGAGTGACTACAACCACTAATTAATATTTCTGTTCCCAAAATTTTAGGAGCAGTGGGCACAACATCAAAAACGTTTTTCTCAATCTCATTTTGTGTTTAACCATCGTTCATTGTTCCATTTCCCCCTAATTGTTTCGTAAATTTCTCCACCTTTTAGCTATCATTATTCATTTTTAATTGGCATCACTCAAATAATTTATTTTGTTTTCTTCCTATCCAAATCCATGTTTTGCCAAATGGAACCCCCCCACACACCCCTTTAGTGCCTGCCCTGTGTTCATGCTAATGCAGAAAAAGACAAATTTCAACCTGGCAAATAAATTTTTCATTTCAATCCAAATTATTCTTATTCAAAATGTTTTAATTGCTATCAAAATAGTTTCAGTTAGGTGAGCCAAGGGTGTTAATCCAGTGGCGTAACGTTATATCAGGGGGGCCCCGGTTAAAATTTTTCAAAGGCCCCCCTTGTGCCAAAGGCATGAGTCAAGCGCCATATATGCACAAGTTTTCTTTGAATCTAGAGTCTCTGAAATGCCATTTCACGGACTTCAGGGAGAGATTTTACAGAATTCTGATGCCTAGCTACCTGGCCAATTAATGTTTTTGCTCTACAGCCTGAGCCTGGGGGCCCTATTTGGCCCATTGGAGGCCCCCGGGTTCGCCCGGTCCAAACCCATAATAGTCAGGCCACTGTGTTAATCCTGGGTTGAATGCATCCCCTCACTTTTTGGAAATTGGTAATATATTCCAGAATTACTTATGTCTGTTGGACATATATTATGAGGCTCAGAAATGCCATTTCCTGCACTTTCTTGTGCTAAATTGAGGACCTTGGACAACAAAAATGTTGCATAAAAATTTGTTTCGTGTTCATGAGTTTGCTATTTTGAGGGACTTGGCGAGGGACTATGTGCACCTTATCTATTTTTTGAAAGGCTAAGCCCCCATATGCAAAATTATACCATATCCAAGTCCCCAGCCCATACCCTGAATCCCTGGCCGGCCGATATGATAAAATCATCCATAATCAGGAGCAAAACTCCATTTGCCTGCTCCAAATATTTACAACCCTTGGAACCAGTCTCTGGAACCAGTGTTCTTGTGAGGATGGACATCAGTCCTCTGCTCCTCTTGTCCCCATTCTCGTCTCCAGAGCCATTTTCACTCGGTCACTCGTTGAAAATTAGGATGTCTTGTCCCCAAAAGTAGGGGCCCATGAGGATCACAGGCATGGATATGACCCATGAGGTTCACAGGTTTTCACAGGCATGGATAGGAGATAGGTGTTGGGAACCTGCTCATCCTGGAACCTGCCTAAAATTAGCGCAACCTCGTCCCCAACCCAGGGTTTTGAAAACAGCCATGCAGAATTATTACACTTTAACAATAATATTCTATTGGACTTTTGGCTTTTCGAGTGTTTTCGACAACCCCAATCACCCAGTGATCGACACAACCCAATAACCTGGAATAACCTGGAATAACCCATGAAGCGGAGCCCAAATTTGAAATGATCTCGTCCCAGTCTCCCCACGGACAAGCACGTCCGAAGCTGCAGCAACATTTGCATCGTCTCTTTGAATAAACTAGTGAAATTTTGAAAGAAAAATATCAAATATTGTGCATATTTAAAACGACTTTGCTAACAGAAGTTGAAGAAGGAATCTTTTATACATATATCTGTTAATTTTCTGTTGTGGCTGTCGTCGTGTGGGCTATTTTATGAGTAAGAATTTCTCTAGCTTCGTTTTGCTGTGTAGTGCGACGGTTGTATTTCGTACTGTATAGTGTGAAAGACTAAAGCATTCGTGTATAAAGAGATGAGAGACACGTTTGGTTTGCTACAGAAATACTATCATCCTTGGCCTTAGTTAATATGGAGTAAAGAGACAATAGATATTTGGTCGTTCAGGGCTGTTGTTATGTGATCATTCGCTCGATCAGCCCAGCACTACTTGTTCTTACATGTATATTTGGTGATGAATATAGCAAACAACGAAGAGTTAGTGAAAAGTGAAAACACAGTGAATCATGAACGGTATATCGAAGTACCCCGTGGTTGGAATCGATGCTTAGAAAACGGCAGTATCGTATATTTCAGGTTTGTAATAATTGCTACAATAAGTTAGACAAAATATGTTAATTAGAACACAAGCGACCGGCACCATTGGCAATGAATTTTCAAATTCCTGTCAAAGAACTCTTTAGAAGTACAAATTTTGAGGCAATTTTCCAGCCAATTTGTGTTATCATGAATTTCAAGCAAGTTATTTCCTGTTTACATATAGTACTTGACTTCATAAATCTTCCACATTCATGTTAATCACATTTATATAATATAACATTAAATTTTCAGATTTGATGTTGAGAAAACCTTTGTTTTTTTATTATTGATAATACATGCAACAACATTTAAAAAAATGATAAAACAATGTTATGAATGATGATATTATATTATATATTTTTTGACCAACAAACTTTGAACCTGGATAAACCATGTCTTTTAGACCACGTTTACACGGTACCGGACGAATTTGTGACCGGACGAAAATTCGGCCGTTTCGGCCGTGTAAACACACAAGAACCATGGAACCGGACGAATTTGAGACCCCCTAACAGGACGAATTCACATGTAAACAGGCGAAAAAGGACAAATTTTTGTCCGGTCCCAAATTCGTCCGGTACCGTGTAAACAGGGTCTTAGCCAGATTGGTTTCATTGGTTTCACATCCAGGCCTGGCCGTAAGTATTTGGGCAGGCGCGCGGCATATCGCGCGCCATATTAACGCCAGGCGCGCGATTAAAAAAAACGGTAAAATTACGATTATTGGCTATATACAGACTAGAATAACATTCACAAAACAGAAACTAAGTAAAAATTTATGTAGAACAAAACAATTTTAACATTGGAGTTTAGACGAAATTAGTATAGGTACTATATAATATGTTTGTACCAGTCAGCACGTATATTAATATTTACAATATTTACAAAGTCATCGTACTTTAAACGTCAACGAAAAGCTCAACATCGCTGTCCTCTGACTCGCTTTCCAACGAGCTTGACGAATCATCGTTATCGTCAATGGTTACTAAGGCATCTTTCTCAATTCTACGCTTTTTTAATGGAGTTTCTTCATCCACGATATTCCTATCGAGTTTGACTTTGCGCCTTTTCTCCATGTAGAGTTCTAAAGCACGTTGAAGAATCTCCTTACGTTCCTTCGCCGACCAGCAGTTATCGTTTCCTTTGATCAGCATTAAATCAGTCATTGTCGAATGTTTCATACTGAGTCGTCGATCACTTAACAAAAGAGTCAACAAGCTGAAGGCTCTCTCAACTGCTGAGTTGGAACCTGCAACGCATGTAATCAACTCTATCACGAGACAAAGGTTTGGATATTCAAGTCGTTTGAATGTCAAGATTCTTTGCCACATAACTTTTGCATCCTTCAAAAGTTCTCCCATTTGACACCTTGCGTAGATCTTACATCGTTTCCATTCAATGAATAACACTCTCTCGTCGATCCCAGCTTCCGATAAGGGCACTTTAAATCTTTCGAAAAGCACGCGTAGCTCTTTGAGACCATATTCTGGATCTTCTGCCCAATACTGTGGATCATAAATGCGCATGGCTTCGTAAATTTAGGAATTGTTTTCCGGAAAACGTTCGCGAAGTAGTGCTGTGAGATGAATTGTTGTTGATTTCTTCGCAGCTGCTGCAACATCGCGAGCTCTTGACAAATACCGCAAACCAGGCATATCTACATCCACACTTTCTCTATTTACGGGTTTTCGTCGCCGATGACCATCCTTAAGGTAAACACCACAAACCTCTTTTGTTTCTTCGTCAAATTTGAATTTGCCGATGTAACTGCCAGGCAGTTCATCTGCAGTTCCTGCATTCTCCACCAATTCACTTAGACCGCTATATGTTTGCTAGAGCGATCCTGCAATCTCATACGGCATAACTCCGTCCCCTTCGAAGACCAAGGAAGATGGCCCTACGGCATCTAATATATCGATGTAGGAACAAACTTTGCACAAGAACTCGTACGATTGTAAACGTGATAACAACCCTCGAATCTTTGCCTTTGTTTCTGCCTTACCTGTAGGCCAGGCCAATGCATTTTTGAAAGCCACGATCAACCCTGGCCAGACGTCAATGAGAATTTTCATCCCTTTTCGTCGATGAGTAATGAAACGCGTTCCTTGAATCTTGGGCAACTTTTTGTGGCTCTCTATTCCCAATGCTTGACACGCAGCGTAAACCTCGTTATTCAGTTTGCCAGAATTTTGCAGTAATGAATATATTGTTTGATATATTTCATCGCAAACGTTCAAGTTTGAGTTTTGCAACGCTGATTTGAAGGCAGGCTCGATGCGGTGATTTGCACAGTGAACAGTAAGTAGCCATCCGCGTGTCTGTGACAGTTGCGTTAGGATACCGTTGTATGCTCCAGTATTGACACTTGCACCATCAGTAGTAGCGGATACCAGCATATTCTTGTAGTTGTCTTCTGACAATTTGATCACGCCATTTTCTTCGTTGAAAATGCTATCGATACCCATTTTAATTGAATTGGCATCTACACCCCCGTATTCGCTCATTTCTAGAAGAGAAACGATTAAATAGCAAGGTATGCCATTTCTCTCAACGCGAACCATAACAAGCTCTTTTTCGGATCCCGTCTTTCTAGCTTGGGAGCCATCGGACATTAGTGACATAAAGTGCTTACTTGCAATCACCACCGCGCACTTTTCGCGAATAGAATCTGCAATGCAATGAATATACTCCCGAGCTGCTTTGTTATTATCTCGACCATCAATTAAAACAACTCCATTCTGACGTTGGCATTTAACCAAAACCTTGAAGTGCTTGAGAGGCATAGTTGGATTCATGGCTAACTCGTAGGCAGTTTTTATCATTTTCATATATGCTTCATGTGTGCTTTGGTTTAAAGCGACATCAATTCTGGGCGTAAACGACGTTTTCTGGTTGCCTATATTTTGAGAATAAAAAGTCGATTATTCTTATTTCTACACATGGTGTAAAATACGACCGCGACGTGTGTAGTTTAATTATTACTAACATTGTAACAAACAACAATGCTACTAGCCTCACTGCATACATACTTGGTTCATTTTTTGAAGCTTTTCTTCTTGGGGGAGGCGCGCTTCTGCTTCTAAAGCCCATTTGTGACCTTTTCCTACGATACAAATTTATACCAATAAATTTTGATGGTATTAAGTTGATTGGCATTGGACGATTTCTATATGTAATCTTAATCTGTGTCATGATGCATTGTAGTTTTGATGTGATCTTGAAAATACTATAAACTCTTACCTTCAAGATGACGATCGATGTTCCATTTAGTAACGCAATTCGTCCCATTAATATACGCTTCGACCGACTTCTTAGCGCTTCCCTTACAAAGCGGATTGGCAAGAATGACAGTTTTATGCTTAGCGCATAGTTTGCACCACACAAACGTCACCATTATTTTTCCATTCTTGGTCTCGGTTTTTGAACCAATGATAGAATCTTTTCCGTATTTTTTAAATGTTGTTTGCTCAATTGATTGACCTTTCGAACAGCTCGCCATCGGAATATTGAAATCCCACTTACTCAAATTTCATTTACCAGATGACAGTCATTTAAAATGAGTCTGAGTTGTCTCATTTCAATGTTTATTTAACTTATCTTACATTATCTTCAACACCTGTGGCTAGATAACAATTTGTTTTTCTTATTTAACTAGTCTAAATGGCGAGGATTTGTTCCGGCAAAAATTAATTTAGAATAAAAAACCAGACGCGCGATTTCATACTCTTAAAACAAACGAGGCGCGCGTTAAAAGGCGCGCCTCGAGGAGTCAAGGCGCGTGCGGAGGCGCGCACGCGCGATTGCGCGCCTCAAACGGCCAGGCCTGCACATCATGCCTGTAGTTTTTGAGGTGGGTTATCTCTAAATGGGTGTAGGCTTTGGGGTCCACCAAGGCCCCAAAACTAGTAGGCTGGTTGGTGCTGTGCAAAATCTGGATTTTTAGCTGTGGCTTCAGCTGCTTTACAGCTCAAATCTCCAGCTCTGGCCATGTTGGTTAAGAACAGAGGGAGTAAAACAAACAAAACAACTGGCAGAACTCTGGCACACAGCAGTAGCCTGGGTACGAGAATGGGTTGTGAAATCAAACTCCAAAATTTTGTTGTATGACTCAGGCAGATCTGCCCTCAGTTGCTTTTGAATGTGGCTCAATAGCCATATTAGCCTTTTGGAGTTGATAGCCAGTTACTTCTGGTTTAGATGATATAGCACTCCGCATGGCTTTGGAGTTGACCCTAATTCAAACTTTTTAAAGTGCATATTTTGACATTTGAATGCAGCATCATGCAGCCACACAATAAAACTCACAAGCATTGAGATAGACACATATGTGTATCTCAATGTTTAGGGGGCAACTGCCCCAACCCCCTCCCCCCCCCCCCCCCCCTGGAAAGGATCAGCCCAATATGTTTATGAATGAACACATTGGAATTACCATACAATAAATCTTATGTTGTCAAATGAATATACTTTTAGTCCAAGTCAGATATGCTTGAGGTCGAAAGAAGACATTGCCAGATACTTGATATCGGACAGGACATGTAAATGTGGATTGGATTGCCCTCTCTATATTGATAAAGTTTTTGACTTTGATGCATCCTTACCAAGTCGTCATTTCAAGCTTACAAAGTTAGAAAATGATCACAAAACCTTGTGTAGAGAAACAATGAAAGCAAGATTTGCCACTCTTGCACAGACACAGACTGTCATTAAAACTGAAGTGAAAGAAGGGAAAGTCAACAAGCCTGTGATAATTAAGAAAAAATCGGAAGTATCTGTTTCAAAGAAAAAAAATGAAACACCAAAATTACCATCATTTGAAACATTTGTCAGTTTGGCAGATGCAAAACCAAGTCTAAATCTACAAGGTATGTACATAATTTGTATTTATGTTTTGGCCTTTGGGATGTCTTTGGTGGTTGCTCTACATTGTGTGTATTGATTGCAAACCATGTTGAACTGGTTACTATAAACTTCACCAAAGTGTTAGACCGCGAGCAGTCCCTTGGGAGGAAGGAGGGACTACTGACAACACATCAAGAAATGAAATACGCCCACTTTTCGCTCTTGTCAAGTTGGCTCCGCCTTCATAAACATTACTTATATCCAATTAAATCTATCCAATAGGAACCGTTAATGTCATGTTTGTTTGTGATGTTACTCTGAGTGCATATCCACACCGGGCGAGCTTGAAAAATATGCCCGGCCACGGTGAGATTCGAACCTACGACCTTTGGAATACTAGCCCAATGCTCTTCCAACTGAGCTACGCGGTCAGGACAGTTCGAGTAAGTGATATTTCGGAACAGTATCTAGTTCCTTCAATACCAATGTGTTCTAGTAATATGAATTTTTCTGTGATGGTGTTGTGTACTCTGGTGAATAATATGTTTGTGATGTTACTCTGAGTGTATATCAAGCATTTTCAAGCTCGCCCGGTGTGGATATGCACTCAGAGTAACATCACAAACATATTATTCACCTGAGTACACAACACCATCACAGAAAAAATAATGTCATGTTTATTTATAAAATCAACATTCAGCCTGGAAATTATTTATAGCATAATTACTACTTTATATCAAATTTGATTGACAGGCATATCGATTTTGACCAATGGGAATTTTGGGTTGTGTGGGCAACACATATTTCGTTTCTTGATGTATTGTCGGCAGTCCCTCCCCAGCGGGCAAAACGACGTCTATTCAACGTTGAATTGGATAGACGTTGAAAAAGGATTGAAAATGCAAATTGGATTGATGTTACTCTTTTGACGTTGAAACAACGTTGAGATTAGGTTGCCAATCTTATCAACCATAATTCATTAATTCAACGTTGAATCCACATTGAAACAACGTTGAGAATACTTCACAATTTGACGTTGTATAACCAACCATGAACAAACGTTAATTCGACGTCTGTTTGCTACGACGTTGATATTAGGTTGTCGACATCGCAACCTTTTTTCTACCAAATTTCAACTTTGAAACAACGTCATGTGCCCGGTGGGTCCTTTCCTTTTGCATGCCTGAAAATCTAAACCCACGGAAAGGAGAGATCACTTGCAGTCTACCAAACTGTAGGAGCCTCAAACAATATATACGATGGCCTCGCCCCAAAAACATTTGTTGCCCTTCCACAAACTTGTAGAAGTTGTCACACTTCATGCAAATGTTTTATTGATTAATAAATCTGGATTAAGCATTTCTGATCATCTTTTCCTCACATATGGAAAATTTTGTATGTTTTATGCTCACCACCTGATTGCCATGCATATACTCAAGCCATGTCTTCTACTCTTGCTAAAGGATATTTTCAAACAGACTCATGCAGTCATACTATACCAAATTGTGTAGTAACTACAGTGTACACATTTTGCAGACTAGCAGATTTGTGTCATTTTCAGGAGGCTGTCGACAGGGCTGTAGCGAGGGGTGTATTAGTGGGGGGGGGAGTGGTTAACCGAGGCGGTTTCTACAAAAAAAACGAAAACCGACTGGAAAAAACCGAGTGAACCGGTTTTTTTAAAATATGCTACTCAGTACTCACGCAAGATATTAAACGTAAGGTATTTTGAAGACGTTATCAAATTTCAAAGAAAATCTCTTTAGTTTTTCGTGTGTAAATGCCAAAACGTGATTCATTTACATCAAACTCGTATAAGTATGGTTCGATTTCAGTAAAATACCAATTTTTCTTCGGTTTTTCCCGTCCCCCCCCCGGTTTTTCTCCAAAAGTAACATTGAGTATTTCGGTTTTCAAAAAACATCGGTTTTTACCGCCTCACTCTAGTTAACCCCCCAACTTTTTTAGAATTAACATATTTGGAAAATCAGGTTGGCCATTCGGAAAATTATGGCAATAATAGTATAACAGAATTTTAGACTTTTAGTTGTTAAACAGAGAAAATATAACATAATTGTATATACAGGCCTTAAAATATCTTTCACAGGACCGTCTGACAAAATGTCCGGTGACATTGAGTTTGGGTCGGACATATGTCCGATGACCTTCAGTTCAGTTTTGACTCGGAAATAAGTCTGAATGACACAAATGAATGTGAGCACAATGTATTAATTCTGTACTGTAAATGTTGTGAAGAAAGTTAAATTTTGTTTCTTTCATACTTATTTCCAAGCTAAAATTAACTTGCTTTCCAGAACAGCAGTATTAAAAAAGACTTCGACAACTTAAGCCATTTTTCCACTTCACCATTTCGTTCGCCGCCCCGCGCTCGACTACGTTAAAACAACATTTCCAGTTCACCTTTTATACAATAGTACTCTGATTTTCCATTTAACATAAAATCCTCTAGTCCTGGGCTAGGGTACATTTTGATTTACGTTGAACAAAGCTACAGTTCGGTCGGACACAAATACACTCAGGTCGGACAAACAATAAACCTCAGTTTCACTTAGGTCGGACAGAATGTCCGGTGGTTTCCTTTCTACGTCGGACAATTTCACGAATGGGTCGGACAATGTCCGTGACCGACCGATATTTTAAGGCCTGGACTACTATATATTGTCAGTATAAACTGATTTACAAAATCATGGCATTTACATGGAAAACTTTAAACAAATCGTAAATAGGTAAATGTTTTTCGGTTTATTACTCCTCAGGGCCGTAGCA